GGTGACGGTCGCAAGTTGAAGGTGGAATGTTTTGGGTCGCTTGATGTGGTGTTCCACTGCAGGGAGGATGTGCTGGTGACGATGAAGGATATAGCGGTCGTGCCCGATCTTGCGTTTGACCTCGTCTCCCTCAACGTCATTCAGGAGACCCACGACCTCCTCTTGAATAGCGCTGGCACTTGGATTCTCAACGGTCGCGTGCATTTTTCGAAGCTCCCCACCGGCAACTACATTCAGGCTACTCGGATCGCATATGGCGCCTCCCCACCTGCGATCGTGGCGGCGACGGTGCGGCCTGGGCGGCCCAGGAGCATCAACATCAATGATCTGCATGTTTCTCTTGGCCACACCAACGACGCGAATGCACGGGAGACCGCGAAGCAGCTGGGGATTCAGGTGACCGGTACCCGGGGATACTGCGCTGGCTGCGGTGAGGCGAAGGCGATTCGACGCAGCGTTCCGAAGGAGACGAAAGCCAAGGCGGGGAGGCCGTTTGGGCGTGTCTTCATCGATCTGACGGGCCCATATCCGCCGTCCACCGGTGGCGCTCGGTACTGCATGATGGTGGTGGACGACTACTCCAACGTCGGATGGACGCTGTTTCTGGCGGACAAGGGCGGTTCCACTCTGTGTGACGCTTTTCGCGCGTGGTACGTTGACACCAAGCAGTTGGCGGGGACTCACGGTGGGTTAGGCGTTGCTCGCTTTGATAACGGGACCGAGTTCACCAACACCGAATTCCGGCACTTGCTGTCTGAGCTCGGAGTTGCAGTGGAATTCACCCCCGTCGATGGTGCGAAGCGCAACGGGCGCGCGGAGCGGAAGATCGCGCTTGTCGTTGAAGGGGGCAAGGCGGCGTGGTTGGAGTTCCCACGGCTCTTACCAGACTTGGAGTTTCCTCGAAAGGCGATGGCGTGGACGACGATCTGGCCGGAGGCGCTTGCTTGGATGAACGACACGCTCAACATGACCGCGCAAGCTCACACACCCGACAAGCTATGCCCATGGGAGAAGCTCTACAAGCGACG